AATGCCTATGTAAATTGCATGCACATTAGGTACACTGTGAGAAAAAATAACTTTCCATGGCTAGTGGTGAGGGTGGTGGTTAGTGCCAGCTTCTCTCAGCAATGCTTTTTTCATTGTGGTGAGCTGATATTATACAACTGTGCAGTAGATGGTGCTCTAGTGCCGTAACATGAACTTGAAAGAAGAAAGTAGAGGAAAGAATATGGTTAAACATGGTTTGACAAGTCTGTATTTATAATATTTGGCTTCCTCTGTCCCCTAAAATTTTGTAGTTTACTACAGTCAAAGTAAGCCAATCTGCAATAAGATCACAAACTCATTGCCACTCTTATTCATTGCTATATTAAATATTTTAGTAAAAGGATTTAATTAACCCTATAACAATAGTGAAAAATTAAAAAAAATTTTTAAAAATCTTTATGTGCATCATCCATGAAAATAATGAACGATGCACACTAATCTGGTCATTTGAAAATCTTATAATGCAGATTTTCAAATTAAGCTGCTAGTATTCAACACGATTATACACTTTGAGGAAGTGCTCTTGAGGTTTTAGCTTTCCCAAGTAGAGAACATAAGTGGCAAAAAATTACGACAGTCACACTTGTGTTGAAATTGCTTCATTAGTGTTTGGTCAACGCTGTTTTGCTTTAACTTGACAATCCTCTGTTTTTGTATTTTCTGGTCTGGTGTTTCATTTTATCTTCTTTCTTCTTCTTTCTCATGATTTCTCACAGTTTTCAGCCACATGGTGCAATATTGACTTTTGGGGAAAAACTTGGCAAAAGCTTCTAATTTTCACAGAGTGAGGACCATTAGTACAGCGTGCGATTACTCCCTAAAGATGTTTATTTAGTGCTTATTGCTTATCTCAGTCTTAAATACTAAACAAAATAGTTATAATTTAGTCAGTGTAATATCACTTCAGTCCTAACTAACAACAGTCTATTTCCTTCAATCATATTGATCATATGTTTTGCAAATGTGCAGTTGATCTTGTGAAAGATTTATATGGTGGTTAAATGAACAAACCTGTCAACACCGTCTTTAAGCAAACATGACACCACAGCAGCTGTGGGTCTGACCTAAAACTTCTTTCTAATCTGTTTGACTGACAGCATTCATGATCAAAATGAAGAAGAACTACAATTGTATCATCAGAGTTCTTCTTGTGAAAATTACAGAGAATTTGTGGGTTGTTTGGCTTCTTGACCCTCAGTGCATTCATAGTAAAAATGTGTTAAATGCATAAACAGTGAATAAAAACATAAAAACACAATGTGACAAGAGATCAGTAAAGGTCACAACACATTATGTTATTCCCCCTTTTGGGGATTTTTGCATTTATCAATCCTATTATCTCTTTATCTCTGTCTGTTGACATGTTCAGGAGTAAATGAGGTTATATGACGTGTGGCCAGCAGCATTCTCTGCAAACCAGCACGTACTTAGAAATACAAACTGAAAAAAGTGGCATCGTGAAATACTATTAATTTCTGCTTAGTAAATAAGAAAAAACTCTACAGTTATATGTGAGGATACAGATAGACAGCTTACAGACTAGACTACAACTAGCCAAGTACAGCCAAGTACAGCCATGGCGTAACATTCATTAAAATGATTGCAGAAATGAGGAACTAGGAGACAAGGTTTCACTGAGGGGTGTGTTGTGTTGTGCAGTGTGCAAGTAAGATGCTGAAATCTTTTTCCTACTAATGATAAATTCATTCAGGGTAACAATGAGTGGGTGGTCTCCCCTTACTGTCATAGGGCAAGAACAAATTTCAGGAAACGAGTTTTAGAGATATAGATGTATCATATATCATCTGTGACTGGTTACTGTTGCCTAATATTTGGCAAATATTAGATTGTTTATACACTGTAATTTTTCCAGAAAAGATTATGAAATGATGCTGTCAAACAAACTCCTCAGTGTAACACAGTTCAATTTAAACCATTTCTATCCAACAAACACCAATCACATCACATCAGCCCCTGACAATTTATCATAATTGTTGTAATGGATTGCAATAGAACAGTGACGGTGTAAACGACAAGGCCTTTGAGATTACGTGTGCTAGTGTTAGTAGAATAAATCCAGTAGGGTAGGTTTAGCTGATATTTCTTTAACTATGCAATAAACGGCAACCTTTAACTGTTATAACTGTTAGGCAACTGCCTTGTCAACATCATCACATATTCACTGTGAACATGCAGAGCACACTCTACATGAACGGTGTAAGTTTACGTATCTGTTTTAAGCATCAACGTGTCCCCATGACCACGCCCCAGTTACACTGAAAGAAAGTGTGCACTTCAGCACGTTCCATTGACCGCAGCAGTATTGCAAGCCTTTGCACATCCACAGTTCCAGAACACCAAACAGAACAACAGACAAGGACTGTGCTGCAGCGGCCTCGCATCACAGACCCTCCCCCTTACCCCAAT